GCTCAATATTCTTCTGTCACACAAGGATCGCTCCCATCTTATCAGATCGAAATTTCACCCATTTGAAACAAAAATAACACTTAAAGACAAGCATTGTGAGAATATGGCCAGCTGTGAAACGTTATTGTCAATGAAAAGTGCAAACAGCCAATCAAAATGCATAAGGATGGCGTTCAGCACCAAGGACAGGGGCGTTTTTGTGTGGTTAGTGCTCAACACCAGTTTTTGGAGTGTTTACCTATAACGTTAACCGTTTGTTCAAACTTTGTTGGTAGTTCTACTTCTTTCTGTATTTATTTCTTCATTCCTGGCAAATCCGGCAACCTTCATTTCCTCACAGTCCAAACATTTTGGACGGTGCGATCAGGCACAATCATGACCATTCACTACACGTATCAATGAGGGCCTCTAGCAATCCATGTTATTATTGCAGGGACAATTTTCCTTTGAAATATGTATCCTTGATGCTGATTGGTTCTAATTACGTTGACGTTTTTGCAACGATCTTGAGACGTTGATGCTGATTGGTTACTGATTGTATATACGTGTTGCTTTATGCCCAAATATGGGCAATAAAATCGAAAGAACGAAACCGCTCAACTTTTCATGTAAACAAGGTTAAAATGACTCAAGTTATGATGAATTTCCGACAAAGGGAAGTGTTTGAGACAATTGTGTTCCTTCAGATAAGCGACAGAGTTATTCAAGCTGCCTTTACTAAGAAAAGAGACGAATTTGTGTGACAATAAGGCGAAAAATGCCTATACGCGGTGAACATTATTATGAGCTAAGGGTGACATTGCTTAGGGATAGCTTTCAGCACCAAGGACACGAATGTCTTCAGTTTAAACCCGGTATAATTCCATTATTATGAACTAAATATCATAACAGTGACTGCAATATTCTATAGAAATCATTGTATTAACAAACTCAAATTACTGTCAAATTGTGTACTTTTTATTTCATCCAACAAGATATTCAAATTGGATAGACAAAACACATTACTTAATGTGTGTTTTGCATAGTTATACATTACACATGAGTACACGTCAGCAACAAGACTACTTAATAGCGGCTGGGCACTTCAAAGCTTGGTGCTGATTGAATTATTGTTGTCAGGGAGTGTAAACGATTATTTAGAAGTTTTAAAAATATTCAGTTCCAAGAATCCATGCAGACACGCCAGCTTTGGTTCAGGATGAAAGTAACAAGCAGCAGACCACTCAAAATGCAATTAATCAAAATCTGTGCAAAACGCGTTGGATCAAAATCTGATGTACAAAACAACATGGACCCCAATCCGAGCACCCGCAATGTTAGTGCAGCTAACAATCATGGTGAATCCTGCATTGAACCATACGCTGTTGGGTATCTGTCAGATTGTGACAACAGCAGTGGTGCCGCTACAATGAGATCTATTGACAAAGCACCTGACAATGCTATCGAACCAGATGCTGTCACAAGAGCCAACGATGAAAATATTGAACCATACGCTGTTGCGTATCTGAGTCAAGATGATGAAACGCTGCCGAAAGTGTCCTTTCGGAAGACGAAAGCTGCCACAGATGTTGTAGAATCCAGCTCGTCCAATATTGATACCGACGCTTCAGTTGAGGATGACAGCGGTGCACAGGGAGTCCAACATTCTGCAAGGACACTACATCAAAGTACAGTTTCACCGCAGACTGTCCAGGGGCCAAATCCAAGGAGAACACAAGACACCCTGATCTCTAACCCAACATACGTGAAGAATGTTCCCCAGCAAAAAGCTTGCGGTAAGACCATATCAACATTCCAATATGCTGACCCCCCCCCCAATCATTCTGTCATATGAGCACTGCCATGCATTCTGGTTGTCTAAATTCTTAAGTATGGGTTTCTATTATATATATATGTGTGTGTGTGTGTGAAATATACTTTTCTCTTTACAATGTTGTGTGTATAGGTGTGTGGATATGTGTGTCTATTGCTCATCTATAAAAGCATTTTAAACTGCAGTTATCGCTTGCTGAAATTATTTTCTTTGTTGGAGGTTTTACAAGTAACATCATCTTTATTATGTACAAGATGAATACATGTATTACCATCACACACATTAAACTGCCTACATTACATTGTCTGCATCAGGTTGTTTGAAGTTGCTATCAAAGATTACTTTCCAGGTTGTAATTATCGCTGGGTGTGTATTGCCATGACAACCGCTACCGTCATCATGTTCTCGCTTATAGGCGGTTTCTTCATTGGGCAATACCTCTACAACAACATGCTGAATACTCAAAAGGTGAAGTTACTGTTATTTGTCTTCAGGTGCAAGAGAGGCACTTACAGTCTTTTGCTCTCTTCTCTGCATCCCAGAAGTTTTTCAAACTTCAAAGTTTGTATTTTATGTGCGCAAAAAAAAAACGCTTCTTTTTTCAAACATTTGGTGTTATTTGTGTATGAATTCCTAATTATCATACAGTGGATGTGAGAGTTAGACAGTTATTTTGAAGTGTTGCTCTTTTATAGGTTAACTCTGCCAACAGCTCTGCAGTATCCATACTGCCACCAACCTCAGTCATACTGCCACCAACCTCAACAGTTGTCACACTGCCACTAGCCACAAACAACCCACAAGGTAACTGTAGAATTCAAATATAGCTTGAAGAGAGAAGGCGTGTAAAACTTTTATCCATACTGTATATAAATGTACAAAGAAACTTTTTTCATCCAACATGCAGTCAAAATGTTTTTCTTCATTAGCTACAGTCAAACCTGTACTAGTGACCACCTATGTATAAGGACCACCTGGCCATTGTGGTAACTCTTAAGCATTACCCAATGACCTATATTAGCATTTAACAATCCTGTCTAAAATTCAACTGACAGTCAATTTTTTCTTTGGGTAACTTGAGTCACCACAGAAAAATGACTGTATTGACTGACAACAGTTTATCACATGTTTATTGCAGAAACTCTGGACAGAAACGTGAAGTCGAAAAAGATTGTCTTTAAAAGGAAGGCCATTGGATCATTTGATCCGAAAGACTTTTCAGATGTTCCCTATGTTGCTGTGTCTGCTGACAATAAGATATTTGTGACTGGCAAAGAGCAGATCCAAATCTTCAACATTGACGGAGAGTTGTATCACTACTTTCCAACTGTAGTGCCTGGTGAAAACGCAGAAACAGTAATGAATCCTTATGGGCTTGACTTTGACAAAAAGGGTGACCTGTGGGTGGTGGGAAGAGAAGGTCGGGAAGATCAGGATTCTCATTTCAATACAACTGTAGTGCAGTACACTGCAGACGGGCTACCAGTTACCATGTTCCAGGTACGATCCTTTGATTCCAAGTGGGGCGAACGTGCTTTGCATGCAGGCGACGACAAAATCATCGTAACCGTGTCGCATGGCGTGTCGTCTGAGATTGTCGTGTTCCTACCAAATGGCTCGCTTCAGCAAAGTTTTGATGTTGAAGGCATTTCAACCCTCACTGATGTCACAACAGACCGGGATGGGAACATTCTTACTACGGACAAGTCAAAGCACGTCGTCCAGGTATACAATAGCTCAGGATGGGAGCTATTTCAGTTTGGAGGGTACGAAAACACAACATGTGACAAAGGCGTGTTGCGGTCCCCCTATGGTATCTGTGTGGATACACTGGGCCACATCATCGTGGCAAACTATGGAAACGAACGGGTGGACATATTCACGCGCCTGGGCGAATTTGTCCGCACTGTTGACGACACAATGAAGATAAATGCATGGAGTATTGCAGTGGGACCAGATGGACATTTAGTCGTGAGTGACAGATACAGTCAGGCTATAACTATCATTCCACCCCAAATGGTACTCTCATAAGTGACAAACAGTATTTTTCATCACTCTTACTACAATTTGATGTTATTTCCTACAAAAGTACTTTTGCACACATCATAAAAATTAAGCAAATCTCTTGAATTGAATATCTTTTAAAAATTTATTAAGCCTTTACACTTGACATAATCCATACAAACCACAAAATTCAGTCAACGACATTTGATACATCATATAAAGGAATAAATGATCAACTCGCTAGAAATACAATGCTTACAAGATTATAAAAAGCTGTAGTATTCTTTTTAAAGAAAAGTTGTTCTGTGGTAATGCAATGTATGACTGATTAATGATTATACCGGTAATTTTATGTAGTTTGTTGTTGCTAAAGATTAAAAATATCTAACAGACTTAAGACATTGAGCTTCAAACATGTTCAAAACTCTGCATCATTATGTGGGGGAAAGTTTCCTATGTATATACATACAGTTGTGCATCACACTTATGTGGCACCATATCTAAAATATGTGCTATCTATGCCTTTTATCTTTAAATCTTTTTTTAGCTTGTGGCATATCATTTTGTAAATACAAGGCAAAAGTATTAAAATTGCTGTACAAAACTGTTGTTGATGAAAGAATTGTAGAGATGCAACCCAAAATACACTGTCAAGGAATTATACTTTGTACAAATGAATGTTTTTTTTTGCCAAAAACTGCACTGAAGATACAATGCATGTACTTCCTTTTAAGTACTTTTAGTACAATAAGTTGACAGAATTTAATATCTAGATTCCTTTTCCTTTGTTCATTGTATTTTTTCTGCAATACATTCAGTTTTAACAATGTTTTATAATACCACTCTTCTTATTGGTTGATCTCTTTGCATCACCACTTGTTGTTTGTGCTATCTTGTCCAATGAAATCCACTTTTATAAAACTTTGATGGCAAAACTCACATGATAGGGTATCATGCTGTCATCAGGACCTTGAAGGAATAGAACTTGTGAATTCTTCATCTGACCTTTCTGGTACATGTACAGGGTTAGAAAAAAAACTTTCCATATTAGAAAAGTTACATGTACAATGTACATTCTGTCTACAAAAGTCTAGATATGTCATAGTGGCACTTAGTGGTGTTTTTTTTATCATTGCCAAAAGTGCAAAAGATTTTCTTTCTCTTTATCATTTCCAATGCTTTAAAACCTTACATTTGTGCCCAAGTATTTGAAAAAAAGGTTGCCTTTATGTTGAACAAAAGAGAAAAGAGTTATACCTTAATATACAAAACAATAATTGCAAAATTACCATTCGTTTACCTAATTCAGCTTTTTTTGCCCTACACCTGACCTCCATATGACACATGACCCCTCAGTTTTCCCTGAGGTCATGACCTATACCCCCTGACCCCCACCTGACCCCTCAGTCCCTCCTGAGGTTGTTGAGTCTGGCCTCCAGGTCGGCGTCTGCGTCGCTCAGCCCCCCTCCCCCTGCCGCAGCCGCCGCAGCTGGCTCCTGTTTCTTCTGCACTGCGATTGTACCTCCTGTTTCTGGTAGATCTGAAACAAAAACAGGGCAGGGATTCAGTTGGATGTAACAAGTATTATAAAGAAGCTAGAAAAGGAAGACATTTCACAGATCTATTGTGTCTTGAAGATATACCTAAAAAATGGAATAGGAAACCTAAGAACTCTGATAGCCTAGGCTGCTCCAAGAAGAAGACACAGTGGAATGAAATGAAATGAACAAAGACTGATTGCAGCCAGAGGCATTTAAACAATTATTAAACCAGCTTCTGAAAACAGTCATTAAGTTGTATCATACACAAAACTAACATGGTACAAAACTCTAAAAGTACACAAATACAGAAACACAGAAGGCATCATCACGGAATGACACTTACTAATGGTGGCTTGAGTATCAAATTGCTTTATATTAATTTTTTAACATATTTATTCACAACAATAAATAGGAACATTTTAAGGAATTGTCCAAAAATAACATCCAACAGTAGACTTACTTGCAAGGTCATCTGTAAGTTGTAGTCCCAACTCATCCAATACCTGAGTTACAATGGCATCACTGGAAAGACACAAACATCAACACAATAAAGATATCAATCAGAGAAGTGTGGAAGACTAACGCTATTGTTCATCTACCTGGTCAACATTTATGATCCATCATTTTTGTCATGTTACTTTTTAGCCAATTATCATGAAGCTACTACTTTGACTCTTGATGACAAAAATTGTTTCACAGATTGTGATTGGTCAGTTGAAAAGCTGGGTATTCTCTGATTGGCTGCTTACCTCTCCTCTTCATCATCTTCATCCCCCATTGCATCATCAATGGCATCGTTCATCATCTCCTCCTTCATGTCCATGATCTCCGACTGTCTCTCAAATTCCATCATGATCTTCTGGATCTGAGGCAACTTCAACTGTAGATACAGCAGATTTAGGGCACAGTTTGTTAAATCAAATTTTATATATACAAATGCTATTGTATGATGAACATTTTTAAACAATCCGTTGTCTTTAGGACACTTACAAAACTATTTTGCTTGATAGACTTTAGCAATACATTTACATGCTGTAAAACATAGTATTTTGAGGCAAATAATGCATAACATACTCTTTTAGAATTAAGTTGAAATCTAATTTGAGTTTTTTAAAAAATTGAACAAATCCTCAGAAAATAAGTCACACTAAGCGTGGTGTTAGTAGCCATTTCAAGTCACACATGTGCCATGCAATGGAGTTTTTTTTACAGCTCTACTAGCTACATTAGATAGCAGATGATGTTCCCTATTTGATACAGTGGTATAGACCAAACCTGTGCTAACCAGTGTAACACACGGATGAGTCCACTATCACGGGTGGTTTAGAGAGAGTACAAGAGGGACAAACCTGTTTGTTCATGGTGGCCATGGCTTTGGTCACCCCCTTCATGGCCTGTGCCATTTCGTTGTTGGATTTGAGAGTCTGAATCTTGAGAGACACGGCCTGGATGTTTGCTCTCATTAACATGAACTTCTTGACGTAGCGACGTGTTCGGACAAGATCCTTGGCCATGATCTTCACAGCGTCCTGTTGAAAGATTAAAAAACAACACTAAAACAAAGATGCTATAATAATTATAATACTGCTGGTACTATCCTCTTCATCCTTAACAAAACATAAGGCCATGATACATGCAAAATTAAGGACGATTCACAGTCAATACAAATCTAAATGACTTGAGGGAGTCTACGACATTATCTACCAGTATATCAGGGTATTGAACAATCCCTCATCAAAGACGGGGGGCGCCACAGACTTTCTGCAACGGTACCTATGATTCACCAAGTCACATATGTTGTCTGCATAACATGACGTCTAAGAAGCAGGGGATTGCTCATTCCTTGACAAGGACTGTCCAGAGTTATATAGTCAATAAGCACAATTTCTTGTGGACTTGGGTAAGTCCGATTTTGTTTTCAAGGCATACCTCAAGGGG